TTTAAATTTCAATATTTTTTTTTTTTGTATTTTGGACTTCATGTTTTTCCTCAATCTTCTCATTTATACTTTGCTTACCTACAACGTGATGACTGCCACACGAGCCCAGCTGTGACATTAGCTGTCACCTTGACCGTTGACTCTCACCGCACGCTCCACTCTCTTTCTTGGAGGGAAAAATATAAAAAAAATAAAATAAAAATATTCGAATTTATTATGGATTGAACTTGTTGGCATTCGCATTCTTCTAATCCTCCATTTTATGGTAAAATTGCATTATAATTTAATATGATCAAAAGCCACATTATTAATTGGTTGTATTAAAAATATTTATTTGGTGGTGTAAACTTTTCTAAAAGCTTTCCAAAAAAAAAACTAGTTGGAACTTTTATTTCAGCTGATTAATCAATTAATTTTAACAAATACTGTTGTTATATCAACTAGTTTTTCAGCTATCAACCTTAATTTGTCACACATATAGGATATATTTGATAACTCTAGCTAAAAAGCTAGTCCATAGCTGGAAGCTCATAAGTTAATTTCGAGCTTATAACTGATAACTTATGGTTTATGGTAGAAAAGTTAATTGATATAATAAAAGTGTTTAGTAAAATTAGTTGATAAGTCAGTTAAAATAAAGTTTTCAACGAGTTTTTTTTCGAAAAGCTACTCATGGAAGCTTATGAGATACGCTCGAGCTTTTTTAAAAGGTTTATCACCAAATCAAGCTTATTTGAATACAAGAAGTTTATATACTAAGTAAATATGCGATAACCTAGCTTATAATGCTTACCGCATACTCATAAGTTATAAGCTCGAATTAACTTAAGAAATATCAACTAATTAATCAGTTATCACCTAAATTTATCGAACATACTCTAACTAATTTACCAGCTAATTCAGCTAAATTTACCAAACATAATTAGCAAGTTCATTGAAGCTCGCTGCTTTTCATGTGGGCTGCTCATGGTAAAAAATGCACTGTGATTCATTGTGTAGAAATAATGGCTACTTTTCAATCTTTAATTATCTAAAAAAAACAAGATTTGTGATTGAGGATTTGTTTCTACCAATGTGCTTTTCACCAAAGCCATGAAATGAAGGTAAAAGAAGAAGAAGAAGAACAATTTCTTCTTTTTTTTTTTCCTTTTTTCTTTGCTTGAAAAATAGGAACATCTAATTAGGCAACAGACAACCTCTACAAAGATCAGAAGATGAAA